GCTCCCCGCCCCACCCCCCACCCGCCTGGCCTCTCCTGGCCCTACGGCCTCCACCACCCCTGCCTTCCCCCGGCATCCCCCATCATCCCCCCAGCCCCACACTCTCTAGGAGCTTCAACTTCTCCCTCTTCATGTCTCGTGTTCCCATTTTCCCCTGTCTGTTCACATGATCCTGTCTCCATATCCTAAAAAATTCTGCCCCCCACCCTGCTGCCCCTTCTTTGACACCTTCTCCTCCTCGAGAGCCCTCTCTGTCGGCTGCCTTGCTTTCTGTGTGCTCACAGGCTGGCTTCCCCCGTCTCGAAGCAGGGCTGGCTTCGTGGGTGTGTGTGTGTGTGTCAGGCACACAGGTCCCCCTGCTCAGAAGGGCCTCATGCTTGGTTTGACACTCTGCTGTCACCACCTGGACATTCTTCATAATTTTTGAACAAGGAGCCCCACCTTTTCATTTTGCACTGGGCTTCCCAAATTATGTAGTTGGTCCTGTCTCGAAGTTACCGTATCTTACGCCCAACTTATTCTGACACCCTTCTAACTAGCCTCCCTGTTTCCACCCTCCCCTCACCCTTTCCCTCACAGCAGCCAGAGGCATCTTTTAAAACCACATCAAATTACGTCATCCCTCTGTGCGTTGCCTTCTAATGGCTTTGCATCTTACTCAGAGTAAAAAAACCAAAGTTCTTAAAATAACCTGCAAGGCTCTACGTGATGGGGCCACCAACTGCCTCTCCCCTTTGTCACTGTGCCCTAGAACACACCTGGAGGCATTTGCACTTGCTGTTCCCTCTGCCTGGCATGCCCTTCCCCCAGATATCTACTTGGCTTGTTCCTTCACCTCCCTCAGGTCTTTATTGAAATGTCACCTCCTCCGGGAAGCCATCCCTGACCACCCTGTATACAACAGCAACTCCAAGCTCTTCTTAGCATTCATCACCTTCTTACATTATATGGATGTGCTTGTTTGTTGATTTTATGCTCCCTATACTAGAATGTAAGCCTCCCAGGGGGCAAGGACTTTGTCTTGTTCACCACTGTGACCCTTGAACCAGAGGGGCCACAGGGGCACCAGGGACTTTCCCACAGGGACCAAGTCGGTGAGGATGGAGGGGGCTTTGGGAGGGAGACTGAAAAGTGGGAGAGGGCCAGTTGGGAAGAGGTGCCACGCTGATGCTGACGCAGAACCGTCTCCCCTCCCACCAGGCCCCTTGGGTGGTGGAGGGCCGCCGCCCCCCCGCAGGCTGGCCCTCGCAGGGCGAGGTGGAGTTCCGCAACTACTCTGTGCGCTACCGGCCGGGCCTGGAGCTGGTGCTGAAGGATCTGAGTCTGCGCGTGCGCGGTGGTGAGAAGGTGCGCGTGGGGTGGGTTTGCCCCCGGAGATGCGGCCACAACCCTTGTGGAGAGTATCGATAGGTGGCAGAGCAGGTGCTTCGGCCCACACCTCTGCTGGGCCGCTCTAGGGGAGTCCCAGAGATGCCCTCCTGACCCCTTAGCCTCCCCCTGGCAGCGCTTCCCTACCTCCTCCAGGTGGGGATCGTCGGCCGCACTGGTGCTGGCAAATCGTCCATGACCCTCTCCCTGTTCCGCATCCTGGAGGCCGCAGAGGGGGAAATCCGCATTGACGGCCTCAACGTGGCGGACATAGGACTCCATGACCTGCGTTCTCAGCTGACCATCATCCCCCAGGTACCAGCCTGACGTGGACGGGCCACACTGACCAATGACTCTGGGGGGCAGGCCCCAGCCCTGTTCTGTAGCTTGAGGTCTGAGACTGGGACCTCGGTCTGGGAGGCTGGAGAGCAGACCAGCAAGGACAGAGCCACAGAGCCACCACCGGTCATGGATCTGGAAGGGTCAGACGCACCCTGGCCCAGTCAGACCCTGCCCTCTGACCTCCTGGGCCAGCAAATGGGGCAGGACCCTAGGACCCCTCGAGCACCCCATCCCCTGAGACATGCTGTCCTGGGCTCCTTGTTTCACAGCTCAGAATTACACTCACTTTTTCTGGCTCCTCTGGGGTGTTTTATCTGCCGACTGGACACTTCGGAGTCAGATTAGCGGCTCCGGTCTCTGCTTTAGCGGTGGGCTTTGTGATGGGCAAGGCTGAGGTTATCGCTTCCCCCCAGGCATTTTTCTCTCCCCTTGGCCATTGCCTCCCTCCTCGAGGGCTGGGGACAGAGTGGGAATGCTGCCACCTCCATCCCTCTCTTTGTCCCTGGCCCTGGGGCCCACGGCTCCTGGTGGGGCCTGAGCTTCCCCCCTCTGAGACCTTGTTGTGTCCCTAGGACCCCATCCTCTTCTCGGGGACCCTGCGTATGAACCTGGACCCCTCTGGCAGTTACTCAGAAGAAGACTTATGGCGGGCCTTGGAACTGTCCCACCTGCACGCGTTCGTGAGCTCGCAGCCAGCGGGCCTGGACTTCGAGTGCTCCGAGGGTGGGGAGAATCTCAGGTAACGGCTCGGAGCGGGTCAGAAACGCAGAAACACACAGACAAGAACAGATTGGCGGTTATCAGTGGGGAAGGGTGAAAGGGGTAAAGGGGCACATATGTATATATGGTGAGAGATAAAAACTAGATCATTGAGGGTGAGCATGATGCAGGCTGTACAGAAACTGGTATATGATAATGCACACCTGAAATTACACAATGTTATAAACCCATATGACCTCCATAAAATAATTTTAAAAAGAAAGAAAGAAACAGCACTCTGGAGCCGGATGATCGAGCATCCGATGACCCGGAGTCCAGGCAGCCCCATCTTCCCTCCCCACTCCCATCTCAGCCTGCGTGAACTCAGGGGGCCTTGTTTTGCATCGAGCATATTCTGTGTGCCACGCACGTTGCACTACCTCACTGAGTCCTCACACAAGCCCCAGAGGTGGTCCGTGGTCCCACTTCGCAGATGGGGAAACTGAGGCAGAGCCAGGGCCACACAGCTGGGAGGAGGTGTGCCTGGGATTTGAACCAGGTCTGGGAGATTCAAGCCCTGTTCAGTCCTGTCTTGTGAGGCTGTCAGCGCTATGCTTGGCCTGGGGAGAGGGCGTGACTGAGCCTGTGGAGCAGTGGGCGGAAGCCCACAGTGTTTCCAGGAGATCACAGATAGTTTCCAAGATGGAGGCAGTCTCGTCTGTAGTTTAGGAGAGGGCAAAGTGAGCTCTCCAGGCCCTTCTTTGCCTTCTTATAGTCTCAGACTTTATATACTCAGCCACTAGGCTGTGCATTAGGGAGGGCCAGAAGTCACTTTTCACTGGGTCTAAAGGCTTGAAATACCCATACCTGTGTTAGCTGTGTGATTTGGGGCAAGTTGCTTAACCTCTCTGTGCCTCTTTTTCCTTCACTCTAAAATGGGGATAATAATACCCATACCTCTTGGCATCACACTGCCCAATAAAAATATATGAGCTACATATGTGTAATTAAAATCTTTTTTAGTAGCCACCTTAAAAAAAGGAAAAAGAAGCAGGTGAAATAAATTTTCCTAGTATGTTTTATTGAGCCCAATCTATCTAAAATATTATCATTTCAACATGTAATTGATATAAAAGTTATTAGGTACACTTTGCACTTTTTTTGTGCTAAGTTTGAAATCCTATGCGTATTTTTACATCTTGCAGCACTTCCCAGTTCAGACTAACCACACTGCAAGTGCTCAAGAGCCGCGTGTGGCCGGGGGCTCCCACTGGGACAGAGAGGTCCTAGGGTCGCTGGGATGTGACGGGTGATGTGTATGATGAGACAGAAAGCACTTCCCCTGGATATGCTCCCGAGAAATTTAGCTATTCTTATGCTTATTCTGACTCTACTCTCTTCGAGGCTATACCCGTGGACTTTCTCCAGACCTCAGAAACAGAAACAACCCCCTTTCCACTTGCTCAGCACTGTTAAGTGTTCAGAGCACTTTGGCCTCCACTATATTGTCTCATCTTTACTGCAGTCCTACGGGCCGGAAACGAGCCTCCAAACTGTAAAATTATTTGCCCAAAGCTGCTCATCTAGCAAGGGGAGGGGCAGGGACTCAAGGACGTGAGGGATCTTTTTTTCTTTTTTAAATGGAACATTATTTTGTTTTGTTTTTTATTTATGGGGGTTTTTTTTGTTTTGGTTCTTTTGTTTTTGTTTTTGCTGAGGAAGATTCACCTTGAGTGAAACATCTGTGCCAATCTTCCTGTTTTGTATGTGAGTCACCACCACTGCATTGTTGCCAATGACTGGTGTAAATCTGCACCCAGGAACTGAATCCAGGCTGCCAAAGTGGAGCATGCCGAAGTTTACCACTAGGCCACAGGGCCAGCCCCCAAAGTGGGGACTTCTGCCCCAAACCTTTCCTTGCTGCATCCTAGCCACCAGTGCGATGCCCCCACCTCCCCAGGCAGCCCTGTAGGACGGAGTGTACATTTTATCTGGATTTCACTTACACATCCATGTTGAGGGAGCTGGTGGACAAGCATAGGCTTCTAGACCCTGCACCCCATAGCTGTTTTTTGGTCCATTCTTCTCTCACTGCTCCTCCCCCAGAGCATCTCCTCCAGCCCCACATACACCAGGATCTGAGATGGAAATCGGCTCCCTCCTCCCTCACTGAACTTGTAGCCACTTTAAGTATAACCTGTATCCTGTGCCAGTCCCACCATAAATCAGCCCCAAGTTCTATCTGGCAGATCTTTCTGTTGCCAAAACCTTCATTAGTTGCGGGAATAGGCCAGGGAGAAAGCCTGGCCTTCACTCGGGCTGTGGTGACTCACCCCTTTGGGAAGGGCTGAGGTATGTGTCCTTGGGTATGGGGGTGCAGCAGCCTCTGTGGTTGGGAACACGGCCTCACTTTGTTCCCTAGCTCTGCCTTCCAAGGCAAGAGGTTGAAGGTATGCATCCTGCCCTTCCTCTGCCTCCCTGTTGACCAGACATGGAGGAGTGCCCCAAGTCCTCCCCTCCCCTGCCCCCCTTCCTTATTCCCATAGCAGAGCCCTGGCCTATATCCCCAGTTGGGACAGGAGATGACTGTCTGAATCGTGTGATATTAGGCTCAGCAAGATGGCATAATGTGTGCAAATATCTAGGAAGAGCCATTTAAGTGTGTTTTTACTAAGGTGTAAATGACTGATAGAGTGAAGCAGAGAAAGATCATGACACTAGTTGAGGAGTAAGGACCAGGAAGAAAGCACAGAAAGAGGAGGCTGGGGGTGCCAGAGACAGACTGAGGATTTCACAATGTTGTCCGGTACTGGCTCCATCTGGAGGCCCCTCATTATCCCTGTGGTGTCCAGACCTCGACTCTGTGTTCCAGGAGGACGGGGCCAAGGCAGAAATGGGAGAGGTTAGACAGAAAGCCAGTCCTGGGCCGTTGGGGTGGAGCGAAGACGGAAACAGTTCGGGGAGTGAGGCCTGGAGGCAGGTTGAGGGCACCCAGCTGGAGATGCTTTCTTTCCCCATTCCCAGCGTGGGCCAGCGGCAGCTCGTGTGCCTGGCCCGAGCCCTGCTCCGCAAGAGCCGCATCCTGGTTTTAGATGAGGCCACGGCCGCCGTCGACCTGGAGACTGACGACCTCATCCAGGCTACCATCCGCACCCAGTTTGAGAGCTGCACGGTGCTGACCATCGCACACCGGCTCAACACCATCATGGACTACAACAGGTGGGGCACCAGAACCCAAGCGTGGAGGGACCTAGTAGGGTCACCTTGGCCATTGGGAAGAGGCAAGCAGATTAAAGTTATCTGGACTTGGGAGAGCTCGTGGGGTTGTCTAGAGTGTAGAGGGCAGAGCAGCGTTCCCCAAGTTATAGATAAGGAACAGAACAGAGTGGGGTTACATGGACGCGGGGGGCACAGTGATGTTTTCTGAGACACAGGGGACACTTTGGGGTTACCGTGTGAGAATGGGGCACACTGAGACTCCAGTGAATTGTGCACAGGCCACCTCCCTCCAGCTTCCTATTAATGCGATGAGATGAGGGGAACTGGACCCTTCGTGCCAAATCCTGTCACTCCCTGAGCCCCCGTTTGCAGAATGCCCGTTTGGCCATCACTTCACTTTGTGCCTCCCTTCCTCCCCGGGAGGTGGGTGTACAGATGAGGAAGCCTCTGAGTTCCAGAAGGTGCATGATGCTTGGGTCCCTGCCTTGGTGGGCTGGACCCTGACAGCACTGTAAGGAGCAGACGCCTTGTGGTAGGAGAGCAGAGGGCTGACTCCCAGACCCCGCTCAGCTGCTGACTGCTGTGTGACCTTGGGCAGTTCGCAAAATCTTCATGAACCTCTCTCTCAGGGCTGTGGTAAGGAGTCAATGAAATAAAGCATTGAAAGTGCAGGTGGTCCTGGGAGATGTTAGTTTCCCCGCAGCCCCTTACTGTAATTCTCCCTGGCACCAGTCCCTTCCAGGAGTAGGGAAGGGGCCTTGCCCTCAGAATCTTAGGGCTTCCTTGGGGAGGCAGCCCACTCAGCCAAAAGGAAAAACTGTGACCTAGTCCCTCATTGTGCCCAATGCCGAGGTGTGGCAGGAGGACAAGGGGAGGGGCTGTGTGACTCAGAAGCGTCACAGAAGGGAGGTGGCGCTGGCCTGGCAGGCTGGCCTCCTTGCAGACATGGGAGCTCAGAGTGAGGAGAGCAGACAGGAAGCTGCAACAAATCTGTGTTGAAGGAGTGTGGTGGGAGTATATCAACAGGGCTTCATTCACAAAACAAATGCCCAGAGGGCATGGGGAGGTGGGGAGGCTGCCATGGACAGGGCACTGGGGCAGACCTTGTACCTCCCTCAGAAGTGTCCCCACACGGCCCCTGGGGGCTTGTGAACCAAGCTGAGAGTGCCTGATGCTACCATCTGTCTGTTCCATCCCTGAGGGTAGAAGGCTCAGACTGACCTTGTGGGTTGGGAGCTCATTCATTCTAGTGGGGTGGGCAGAAATTAAATAATCATGCTACTGAACGGGTAATGAGAGCCTGCAGAAAGGAAGCAGGGGTCCATGTGTGCAGGCAGAGAAGCCAATGCACACAGGGCAGCTAGGACACTTTCTCTCCTAAGGAAGGAGTACGGCCAGGCCCTAAAGGATGAGTAAGAGTTGGGGAGCAGGTGGGGAGATAGGGTAGGGAGGGAGCTGGAAATTTCAGGCAAAGGATACAACACACATGAAGACCCTGCGGTAGGAGGGCACATGAGGCTGGAGTGCAAAGGGCAAAGAGGGCAGTAGACCCAAGATGAGGGGGAGGGAGGGACAGGCCCCACTGCTGCACTTTGAGGACCATGGTGAAGCATTCGATCCGTACCCTAAGAGCAATGAGAAGCCACTGAAGGGAGAGGGGCAGTCTCCTGGGCTCCAATTTGGGCAGCGACCGGCAGTGATGTCCACAGACAACTCCTTCCCAAGACACGTTTCCGGGAGGCGGGGAAACAGAGTGCAGTCCACCCCCAACCCCCATCCCTTCCTATCGAGAAGCATCTTCCTCGGCTTGGGAGAGCCCTTTCCATTCCTGCCTCACCCTGGGAGCCAGGCTCTTGGCCCTGCACCAGGCGCACCCTGCCTTTGGTTGGAAGGAGATCCTACTTCGAGGCCCAGGCCTGACTGTGGGTATTGGACGGGGGCGGGGGAGGAACATCCACCCAACAGCAGCAGCCAGATTTGCAGCCCAAGCCCCAGATTCCAGTGTCAGGCCTCAGTGCAGCCCGGTTTCCTGCCGTGTGCCTTTGTGAGTTGGCACAAAGCAGATGCAAGCGCACAGGGCCCCGCGCACAGGCCTGTGGCTCTCTGCGCACAGTCTTGTGACCCCAGCGAGGGGCAGGACTCATTAGGGAAGGTTTTCGGAGCCCCGACTAGCAGACATGAATAGGAAGCTTGTGTTTGATCGCAGAAACCACCTCATCTGCCAGGAGAGCAAACCGAGCGGCTAAAATAACCAGCCTTGCAAGCGCGCCCATGCGGCGTCGCGGCTGTGTTGGGTGGGTTGACTGAAGTGGGAAGGTTGGCATGTCACTGCGGGGCCTGAGCAGTATCCAGAAGGGAGGGGATGGGCTCGGAGGCCAGGTCTGGGCTGACGGAGACCTGACCGCTTCTTTTCTTTGGCTAGGGTCCTGGTCCTGGACAAAGGGATGGTAGCTGAGTTTGACTCTCCCGCCAACCTCATTGCAGCCAGAGGAATCTTCCACAGGATGGCCAGAGACGCTGGACTTGCCTAAACATATTCCTGGGATTGCCTCCTGGCCCTTCCTGCCTTTCATCAGTAAGGGCAAGGACACCAAATCTGTCTGCAGAATGGACCGGATGGCCAGCGCTGGGGGCGTGTTAGATTCTGCCCCTAGAAAGTGGCTCACAGGATCACCGTCGCCACTGGCTTGAGGCAGAGCCCAGACCAGTCCCCCGTCTCCTGATCCCCAGTGTCCTGTGATTCCCACACTTCACCGTTCTCAATCGTTTCATGGAATGACCTCTCTACCCCTTTTGATTTTTCATATTTTCTACTCTGAAGTATTTTTTTTTAATAAAGCTTTTTCCTCCTGGAACAGAAGATGGCTGGGTCAGGCTGTCCCTAGGAACTGAGTCCTGTACTCTGGGGTGCTGGCCTGAATCCATTAAAAATGGAGCACTGATGAAATAAAGCTATGTGGTCAACAGCTTATACACCCCGAGGTGGCCTGTCTCTGCCCGTTCTCAAGACTTGGGGTTAGGCCCTTTGGAGGAGGTAGACTTTACACACATCCACGTGGCTGGAATTATCTGAAAACTTAAGACTCGAGAGCTTTTGGCTGGAAATATTGTCTTCACATCCAAAATTCACTGGGAAATTACCAGTAGTTCCTGCTCTGCTGTGCAGATAATATAAAGGGGGGAGAAATAAAGCCCCTGAAATCTGACCCGAGGCCTCTTGGGAAAGCTGCGGTGAACACCTCCATGTTTACATCGGCCCCCAGACCTCTCAGCCTGCTTCTCTAGGGGCTGAGCAGTGCATGGTGCTTTATTTCCTGCTCCTTTAGAAGTCTGCTCCAGACAGGGCCCCACCACCAGCAAGGCCTCCGACTCACTCACCTTCCTGGGTCGGGCCGCAGCTGAATGTGGGAGCACAGAGGAGCCCAGAGGCTGCCCCTGCCCTGACAGTCCCAGGCAGGTGAAGGAGATGAGGGCGGGAATTAAATTTGCATTCTTGAGCAAGCCAGTGAAGTATTTTTCTGCAGGTCACTCAGCCTGGCACAAGGCCTTATATTTGGAATGGATCTCTTCTCTTTGTTACCTTCCTAAGTTTTTGGGTGTCCTCTGAGCCTCTCATTTCCTCGACCTTTATTCTCGGTACGATGTGAGTGGTTGTGAGTGATGGTTTGTTTTTCCCCTACCCGAAATGGTTTGCAGTAGGTGTGGAGATGGCTCCTTTGATCTGGTTTTTCTCCATGCACTGGGTTGGCCTGTGCTGCAGGACCATTTGTTAAAGGTTAATCACATTTTTTTTGGCAGGCTGTTTCTGCCCAGGATGTTTATGAGTGTATGGAAGAAGACTTCCATCCTTGTGATAAAGCAAGTATGAAAGCACAAATGCCCAAATTATTCTACCTCTCCTCGGTGCTAAGAAAAGGTCTCTGCTCTGCTCCCTGATTTATTAGGCCAATTTGGCATGACGTCTGCTGTGTGAGGCCCTAGCTGCCCCAAACCAACAGAAACGCAGATTATCCGGCATCCTTCTCAGCTGAAGATCTGAAGGTGTGAGGCTCTATTTCCTCTCCTGTCTCAGGAGTTTGCTTCTGAGCTCATTGAGGCCCTGACAGGTGCTGACAGCCCAAAGGAGAGCCTCAGTTGTGTAAAGTAAATAGGATAATCAAAAGATGTGGTTAATAGAGGATGACCTCCATCTCGCTGGCTCAGCTACTCCGGGGAAATGAAGCTGTGAACCGGGAGGAAAGACATCGCACAGAGTGTCTGTCCCCAGTGCCACTGATGGGCTGAGCGCCGTGGCAGCAGCGGATGGAGGTGGCCCAGGTGGGGAACGGTCCTTCTATTCTTCCCCAGAGTGTCTTGTCCCTGGGCTCTCCAACAATTTGAACCCCCTATGATTAGAAGTATAGTGCTGTTTAGGAGGCCAGAATTACAGAATATGACTTAACTCAGTTAATATTTAATTTTAATAATAGTTGTTATGTTTGAACAGTCAGCAATGCACACAAAAAAAACCTTCAGTGAATGTTTACACACAGTGTGAACACATGCGGTAAATATGCAGTGGAGGAGGGGGGTGAATTCACAGTTAACAGAGCTAAAAAGAATCCTTGTTATAAATTACACAAAGCTTATAAAAATATTTCTCTGAATGCATAGATTAAGACTTTAAACTCACCTACCAGCAATGTGCAGCCTTACCCCACTGCCGTCCGCAGGAGTCAGTTGACCAGAGGACTTATAATGGAGGAGCCCCAGTGCAGGACTCATCTCTCACTGGAGACTCCGAACCCCTCGCTGGCCTCCGTTTCCAGGCCCAGGAAAGCCCTGGAGCTAGTCCTGTGTAGACCCCTCCCAGCCAGGGGCCTCCACTGCTTCTGAAAATCTCGAATTGATCTGGATAGCTGGAAGAGTTTTCACCCCAGTGATTTAAAAATGAATTAATACTGAATTTACTTACTCCAGGAGAGAACTAGCCTTAATTTATCAGTAAATTATAACTTTTTTCAAAGGAAAGGGAAAAAAAGGTTCGTATGTCTAGATAAACCAGCTTCTGATTGACTGAAACACAAGGGAGGTTTCTTCTCGAAAGCACTTCATAGAAAGAGGGTAATAAGTAACCTTTACTCTGCTGTGCAAACGCCAGACAAGGGCCAGTTACTCACTATCACTAAGTGGCGGAACACAATTAAGTCACTGAACAGAGTGACTCCATGCAGTTGGCCTTGAACACACCTCAGCCCCTGCTCAGCATCGAGGCCGCAGCAGGAGGCCATTATCTTAGCACAACACCCTCTTCCACGGGCACCTTCACACGTTCTCTCACAGTTGCGGGTTCCGATAAAATTAACCCAGTTGGAAGTGAAGTTTCTTTGGAAGCTAGAGGCACTATGGGAAAAGCTGCTCAAGACAGCAGGGAGCCTCCTGGGCAGCTGCTGCGCGCCCCTGCTCTCCCGGCTGTCCGAGCGTGCTCCTTCTTATTTCTAGAGTTAATAAGCTGTTTGTTTCAACAAGACAGTGGCTTTTCTTTTAACAGTAATGACACTGAAGGAAGGGAAAGAAGCCTTGAATGCGTTCTTTAAAAAATTCTGATGCCATGCTCGAGTTTAATCAGATGTGTGTTTGTTTTTCCCAGAACAAAGCCTGGTAGGCTCACAATTGACTTTGTTGAGTGGATTGGTGGCGGTAGTGGGGGATCCCCAAGATCAAACAATTTGTTTACAAAAAACAGATTTCAGAGTTGTGTAAAAATCCTAATAATTTCAAAATAACCTTTATCTTTGATACAAAAATAAAGATGCTAACTCCTTTAGCTCAGTTTCCCACAATAACCTTTAAAATAGCAACAGATTCAGTCTCAAAAATTGCTTTTCATTCCTAGTGGACAATGAAAGTGGAGAACTCGGACCAGCAATGTTTGTGCTCTTCTCATGTGGTGCAATTAAACATGTAGATGACAGGAACTGCTTCAGAGTTAAAAAAAAAAAAGTGGTTGCTCTTTGAGAAAGCATCAGAGAGCCCTCTAGCGACACGAAGGGGAGTTAATGCAGAGATGACTGGAGGCGAGGGCAGACTGGAGACAGAGGCAGTCATGAGTGCTCACAAAGGAAAGAGCGGGGACGGGGAGCTCTTTTGGTTAACAGCGTATTTACAATTAGGTAACTGTATTCCTAAGTACTTTAACCTGAGTTACATTTATAAATATGTTATGTGAAACCTCACAGCCACAAGTCACACTGAAATTGCTTTGTCCAGTACCTGTGCTTTCCCCCGTTTCCCTCTCTAGTCAGTTCACATTTCAGGAGAGTTGGGAGCATGCAACACCAAGAAAAGTGCAACCCGGCCCTTCAGGTGCACTGTCAACAGGAACGGCTAGAAATAGGCTCCATTCTCTCTCAGCTTCTGCTTGGACAACTCTCTTACATTCTGCACATAAAACACACTGATACAGAACCGCCGGCTGCTGCCTCTCCAGACCACTTCTCAGCTGTTCATGGCTTCAAGCAATAGGTTTATTGTGCACCAAGAGGCTTGGAAGCGTGGCACCGCTGCTTAGGGGTCAGGGGCTTCCTACCTTGGCAGAACGATGTTAGTGTATGCTATGCGGTGGCACCAGGGACCCTCCCGGGCGTCCAAGGCATATCAATGGTTTGTCCTTGGCCCAGAGGTGACACACTGTCACAACGCGCAGTGATAACAGTCCTGATGCATTAGTAAGTCAGTTTTGAAGCTCTCCGGTTGTAGCAAGGCCTTTCAGTCAGTGTGGATGCAGCATTTCTGAACAGAAAGTTATTTTCACTTATTGTTAGAACCAATTCCAGCTCTTGGAAATCTTGAAGTCGAGCAACATCTTTGTCCTAGAATGAAAACAGGTTAAACAGATTAGGAGGAGCCACTTGTCTCTATATGTTTTGGTGTGCTGTTTTGATACTAGTATCTTGGCTCATTTTAAAGCCTAGAGCAAAAAAGCAAATATCCCTGTGGCAGGCTGTCAGTGAGAGGGCAGGAAAGCTCCCCAGGGCAGGAATTGGGTTGCAATGGTGGGAACCCTTAACAGCAGTGCTGGAGGATGAGCAGGCCTTGAAGGGAGAGGGAATTCAGGAATCAGTTTTCCTCAGATGCCCTGAGGAGCCAGAAGCCTACTGATGTGCAAGGAAACCAGAGATGTTGGAGGAGCACACGTCTATCTATGTGGGTTTGCCCTACAATTTAACCTGGCTCCTCTGCTATAAAACACAAGGCACATCTGATAGCGCACTAAGATAATACTCACAGATCACTATGGAAACAACCGAAAACAGGTACATGGGAAGGGTAATTCAGGAAATTCTCTCTGGGATCCTATAACTTTCAAAAATGCCAATGTCTGTACAGACCCAGTAGAGGGAAAGAGAGTTCAATGATTACATTTGGGAAACCACCTTTTGCTCCTTTTCTCTTCTCTTTCATTTCTTCAACTATGACCCATAGAACCAAGGAGGAAGCTGGTATTTTCCAGACGCAAAAAGCAGCCAACCATTCACTCATGCCTAACAGACCTTTCTTACCTTTCTTACCAGAGTATTGGGTAACTTTCTGATCTTCTCCACTTGATCTGGATTAACACCCAGCTCACAGCAACTCACTCTGAGCAATTCTTGGTAGGTGAGCTCCTGTCGGTCCAGTTCAATTTCAATGAAATCATTTTCTCGAAGAGATGGGTTCTGAATCCTTACCTTGAGTACCAGTTCTAGATAAGAAGGGGGAGATATGTTAATGGATGGTTCTGGCATTGTCAGCTATGATTTAATCTCTTCCAGAAGACTGTGGTTCAGGAGTAAAAGGGAAGGGGACAGCCATCCCAGCTGTAGAGAGGGGTAATTCACTTCTGCTGTGGGAGCTGAGGCAATAAAGGCTTGAGAGTGGGTTTGGGAATCAAACTACACACAAGCACGGGAAGAGAAGGGAAAAAAAGGCAAGCTACAGAACACGAATTATTCTAAAAAGATTTAATAATTGTGAATCTAAAGGTATTTATGAAATATGAAACTCTTTGCAATAAACACAGTAAACGAGCAAAAAGATAAGCTACTAATAACAATTAAAGTCTAAGTCTGACTTGAATATATACACTTTAATAAGGAAGGCGCCTTGGCGTTGGGAGTAAATAAACACAATTATTCGTGGGTCTGGGATCTAAGCAGTCTGCCCCAAATTCTGAGCCCAGCTACCAAGATGGCCCAAGCCAAGCACCTATGGGCGTTTGATGGTTCTGCTTTGCTCCTCACATAGGAATCCCTCACAGCACCGTTAGGCCACTGTTATCAGCACCTACAACAGCAGGATGTTCAGAAAGTGAGGGAGTTACTTAAACGAAAAAGGAAATGTAAGACTAGACTGTACCCTGTGGTGTTTGACTGGAATTGGAGGCATCAGGAGGAATTGTGGTTTTTATTTTTAATTTTTTTTGAGGAAGACTAGCCCTGAGCTAACATCTGTCGCCAATCCTCCCCTTTTTGCAAAGGAAGACTGGCCCTGAGCTAACATCCGTGCCCATCTTCCTCTACTTTATATGTGGGACGCATGGCTTTTGTCAAGCGGTGCCATGTCTGCACCCGGGATCCGAACCAGCGAACCCCGGGCCACCTAAGCGGAACGTGTGCACTTAACCACTGCGCCACCAGGCTGGCCCCAAATTGGGGTTTTTAATATCTGAAAAAATAGAGAGAGGGAGGGCACAAAGGGTGAAGTGGTGCACCTACAACATGACTAATAATAACGTACAACCGAAATTTCCCAAGGTGGTAAACTATCGTAATCTTAATAAAAAGTTAAAAAAAAATTATACAAAAAAAAATAGAGAGGGGGCTGGTCCAGTGGCGTAGCAGCTAAGTTCCCGTGCTCTCCTTTTGTGGCCTGGGGTTTGCAGGTTCGTATCCAGTCGCAGACCTAGCACTGCTCATCAAGCCATGCTGAGGCGGCATCCCACACAAAATAAAGGAAGGTTGGCACAGATGTAAGCTCAGTGACAATCTTCCTCAAGCAAAAACAAACAAAAATATAGATAAATAGATACAGAAATATAGAAAAAAGTGTATATAAATGTATACATGTGTTTGTCTGTTTGCTTAGCTTTTTTCTTTCTTTCTTTCTTGGCTTTGTCCTCTGAGTGGGCCTAGAAGAAATGACACACCTTCAGCAATGAGCACACCAAGTGTCCACATCCTGGTTTTTGAATACCATTCTCCACCAAAAAGAACCAGGGCTCCTTGGAGAAATGGCTGATTCCAGGGCTGGGAAAGTTACACTGGGAGCCTGGAACATCTGGCTGCACCAGAAAACAAGGAAGTGCTCTCAGAATGATGGGACACGTCCAAGGGACACAAGAACTGGCTTGAAGGGGTTCCCTCCAGACAAATCTGGCATAATTTGAACATCAAGATAGTTACAGTAATGGATTATAACCTAAGAAATAAAATAGGAATCTATGAGTTCACATTGATATAAATAGAGGAGAGGGAAAGGCTCTTCTTTACAGTAGAATATCAACTA